TATGTAATGCAAGTACGTATATTTGAAAAGTCACCGTGGTTCTTTGGATGCTGTGTCCATGCCATAAAAAAAAAATTAAAAGGCGAAAAATTATATATCATTAACATAATTTTATCGTTGTTTAGCTAGGGAGGCAATCAGTTAAGCTCCCAATTCAATGGAATTTGATTACATTAGCTATTAAGTAGATTTATAATGCAAATAGTTACGGCATTCCAGTCTGTTTCTGGGCTCGATTCTTGGTGAAAAATTGTTTTTATTCGTCCCATTGGGGGGCACCACTTACCTAAAGGTTACCGAAGTTTGAAACTTGATTTCGTTCGAAAACATTCCTCAACGCTTCAGAGTATCTACTAAACGATATTTTTAAAAGAAATACTGCTTTAGAAAACCACAGTCTGGTTCCAATTTATGGTTTCTGGAATATCTTAACTCTGTCATTATTATATAATAAGCCGACAGTCAAGATTATACTGCATTATGTGGAAAAGTGGAAAATAACCACATGTTTATCTCGAAATGAAATAAAAACGAAAAGAAACATGACCTCGCGTATACCTATCATCTCTTAGCAAGAATTTCTATTTATATACTTATACTATAAAGTTTATAATATTTTATGAGCATTGTTGGTCTTGTGGCTTTAGCGTCACTCATTACCTTAAGGTCGTAGGTTCGGTCCCTAGTTTCCCCCCCGACTTTCTATGTGCGCATTTAATATTCGCTCGAACGTTGAAACGTGAAGAAACCGGCTTTCCCGGCACAAAAAATTCACGCCAGTCGACGGCGTGTGTCAGGCACTGGAGGCTGATCACCTATTCGATTGACAAATGATCGTGATACAGATATCTGAGGCCCAGACCTAAACAGGTTGTAGCGCCACTGGTTTGTTTTATGACGTTTTAGGGGGTATCTCTGGAAAACTCGCTAGGCATATATTAAAACTAGCTTTCAGTCCCGGCTTCGCACGTCTGGACATTTATGTAATAAGTAATAAAACTGTAACCACTTTTAAAGAAAAAACGTTTTAACCGGATTAAAGTTATGTATTATTATAAATTCACCGTGACCACGCACGCTGTAAAGCACGCGAAACGTCGGATAAATTTAAAATTATGTTAAATAATTGTAAATTTATAAATAATACATAAATTTAATCCGGTTAAAAAGTTTTTTCTTTAAATGTGTAAAGGTTATGTTAATCAAAGAAAATACTATGTAACCACTTTGCTCTATTGTCAAGTTTCCGCAGCGTACGCGACAAAGCGTATTATTCACACATAGTTTACATTAAAGAAGTTTTCGTACATTTCTTAAACGTTTTTAAAAATATATTACAGCCTATGTTAATCATGGTTAACGTGGGATTGTAATGGTGAAAGAATTTTTCAGATCGGTCCAGTAGTTTAGAGCCAAACAAATACTCTTTCCTCTTTATAACTTACAAGCTTTATACAGAGACATTAGATATAGGGTATAATAAAACAAAAACTTATTAAAACTATTTATTCTTATATTAATACAACAAAGAACATTTTGGCAATAGTGATGTAGTTATAAGTACATTAGCGTACAGTCAGCAACATAATCCTTTTAATACTTATTTAACCTTTTAGGTGAAAAATAATACCAAATGTGATGTAGTTATTTTACGATTCAGAAACTTCAAGTAAATATAAACAATAAAAAGGCATTTACTAAAATTAATACATAATTTAATGTAACACCCACACCAATCAAAATAACTATAAACACATTTCCACGTGACTGTACATAGCGTGATGTTTAAGAACTGTTACAAAACGGTAATTTTTTGTCTAAATTAATGGCAACTTCAAATTACATGTTAATGGTTTAAATTTTTTGTCCTATTTTATATACAGTCCCAGAAATTAACGCCAAATCAGATGATAGCGTAAGTAGTTGTTCACCCCAGAAAATTAATAATAATATGCCATGTATGTATCGTATTCGAATTCAAAACTCTCGTTAAACGTAAATTAATCAATAAAGCTTTTTATAAATTAGACGAATAATGTAAAGATTCAAATCCTTGGGATTGATTCGCTTCAATGCAAACAATTTGTATGACTCAAAACTTGGCGATATATAAGAAAGAGTGGCGGAGAGTTTCTCGCCCGTTGTACGCCCTTGACTTGGGAACTGGTAGTAAATGTAAATTTAGAATCAATTTAACATATTTTCTGTTGACGTTCATAAGTGTACTTGTTTACCTATATGAACAAAGTTATTTTGAGTTTGAGTTATGTTTTAAATTAATGCCATTCAAAATGTAAATGAATTTCATTAATCCTGTGTTCTTTCGATTATTAATTAAAGTGTTCAACTGTGTCAAAATATGTATTATGCAATGTTGCCATAAAAAATATTACCCATTTAGTCAAACAAATTTTTTTATTCGTTTTCTGGAATTAATCACTACCATTTAGCTTGATTAACGGGACACCTGTATATTTGACTTTGTTCTTTTATGAATACAGTTTTAACTCTGTTTGAACTTGTAATTCACCAAGATGGTACTATGATATATTTTGTTTATTGTTAAGTTCAAACATATTTTTAATATCGTGGGTACGAAATTCATAAATAATCTTCCTTGGGCCGATGATATTATACATTTTGAGTCATCAGCTCTTAGCTGCGGCAGAAAATTGGTATTTTAAACATGTGTGGTTGACAGTAGTGTGGTACATAGTAGAATTACTTAATTTTTTTATTCATTGTGACACTTAAATTTTTAAACAATTTCTTAAATCAAAAACAATCCAACAATAGTAATTATTCCCATACATATTGTAAAGGCTATATAAAATCCAAATCAGTCTTCACTCTATTCTCTTTCCTTTTCTGTCAAATTAAGTTTACGCTATGATAAAAAGAGACATTGCGATTACACTGATTTGGTTTTTAAGATTTTTCAAATCTATGATGTATATTTCTCGTGTGTGATAACCAATTTTGTATTTTGTGACAATAAAAACTGCTTTCTCTAAATACAAAAATACAATGTTGGACGTTCAAATAAATAGATTAGAAGATTCAGTTAGCTTAGCGCTAAGTACGACTTAAATATGTCAAATCCAATACGTTTCTGACATATGGGCAAACCACTTCATACTTAGCGTTATCGACTCTGAATTATACCATTTGGCTGGTTCTAATAATGCTGACTTTAAAAAAAATATTAACATAAATAAACACTGATGTTTTTACTGACCCGTAGTGAATAACCATCATAGTTTTTTTTTATTTATTTCATATCATAACATAGCAAGAATCGAAGCTGTCTTTATGTTGTCTATGGAACTTTTGTAATTAAATTTGTTTCATCAAAATGAAGATTACAAATATAAACAAATTTTGTTTAAATTACATTGTAAAATGTATAAACACGCAATCTTAAAATTGTAATAAAAGTACAAAATGCAAAAAAAAAATTCACTGACCATAAATTATATTTTGTACCTTAGCACAGACATCAAATCGAATAGCAATGACATTTTTCTATAAAAAATCGTAGTATACGTATAGTAAACTTTCTTACGTTTTTACGTGAACTATATGTTACCATAGACATGATGTTGTAGTTAAACAGTAACCATGGCAACGCGGTACTATTTTTCTTAACGTTTTTCGAGCTGTCAGAAACTGTCGTATTCGCATTGACGTGACAGCTATCGTAATACTTTTTGAAAAGAACAGAAAATCCAAAATGGCGGCGCGAATTTTTTCCCGACTGCAATAGTTCCGTTCGTATTCAGGCATGCACAAAACATTCCAGTAACCAGATAAAATGTCAAATGCCTGCCGATTTAAATAATTAACCTACGAAATACATATTCAACAAATATGTCATTTTGACAGTTGACATCGCAAGTCAAACATGACAGCTGACAAATCAAGCGGCCTAATTCTACAGTTCATGGATTTAACTATGAAGCTTAAAGATAAATGTATATTTTCATCAAAAATATACTATATTCATGCAATAGCAAATATTATAATAAAAAAAATCTGCAGAAAATAACCACTTTCATAGATCGTGTATATCTCGTATACAAAACGAAATTCAAGACCAACATATAGAATTTATGAGCAAGAATGTTTAATTCAATTCTAAACACAAAGTTATCAATTTTAATAAATTACTGTGTATATTATTTATATATTGGGACGGAAACAATATTTTTACTCCCCATATCGTCAGGACTTCTTCTTATCTATGGTCGCTATTCAATATGACGTTGGGGTTGTTTATGGTATTACTGTCGCTTTAAGACAATAAACGGCATTTAAAATTTCTCATGTCAAAGACAAATAAACAAAACAAAGATAATAAAAGCAAATAAACCAAAGTATTATTTTTTAAATGATAAAGGGTTATACCTCCCGGGTTCTTAAACCAATGGTAATTGCTACGAATCGTATATATATATATATATAAATTTTGAGAGTTATTAACTTGAATAGGATATAAATAACAGGGAATTATGAAAGCGGTTATCTAGTCTATTTTAATTTGTTAAATTGACAGCTAAATACAATTTGAGCGTATTATGTACTTATAATAAGTATTGCCATCACGCATACCCTTGGTAAAGTTTGGATGAGAAAATTTCGTATTTTTGTGCAAAAATCGACGTCTGCGCATTTAATAAAGTATAATTACGTGTAAGTTTTACTTATTATTTTTTTGTATCAAGCTGCTATGAAATGTTTTAAATAGCGGATGGCAACACTGAACTAATTATACGAAATATTTGTATTCGCGCTAATTTTAAATAAATATGAATGCGAGACAGTAATATTCTTATTGGTTCTCAACCACTTATGTTATGTAAATACGTGAGTGAGATGGCAATATATTTAAGTTTAATTGACTAAATCATACAAACAAATACCTAGTATTCTCTCACTCTTTTCGATATACTGTGAGGGAGACAGAAATATATAGTAATTTTTGCGTCATATAAGTACTTTTAGGCACCGACTTTATTCCTCCGCTTGTTAAGTAGTGAGTTATTGCTTTGCTCCAAGGATTTTATTTGCACCTGAAAATAGATACAACTAATTAATTAATTGCCTAATTATAATATATATATGGAAATATATATTAAAAACAATTTTTTAAATTAATAAAAGACACTTAGTATTTTTTTATAGAACAGAGGGCAAACGGACTGGAGGCTCACCTGATGTTAAGTGATACCACCGCCCATAGACCGCCAGAGAGCTCGCGAGTGCGTTGCCGGCCTAAGAATTAGTACGCTCTTTTCTTGAAGGACCATAAGTCCAAATCCTAATAATACTTCCAAGTTTTCTGATATCCACGGCCAATTTACGTAATTTTAAACTTAAGGTGTGCGTATGTCATGGTCTGCGCACGATGAATAAAGGAATTTTAACCTATTTTCTACTATCAGTTCTGACTTAAATAATTAAATTATTTTTGGATGAAATTAAACGATAACTATTACCTGGTCATAATCGACTCGCATTGTGGCCAATGACCTGGTCATCTCGTCCTGCACTTCGGCCCATGCCTCATTCGTGTCCCGCAGTATTGAGTCCGTGTACAATGGGGTTTGGGGCACTTGGGTGTACTGACGGATCCAAGGGCTGGCCATCACCTGAAATTTTTATATATATTCAATTTAAACATTTAGAGATTTACGGTTTCTAGTTTAAATAAGTCAAAGTTTGTCTATTGCATTTGTATAATCTTTGCATTTGTTGTTTATGGTCTGTACCAACTGCCAAGTGTGACAGTGACATTATACCTTTACTTGAGACTTGATTATTTATATACCACAATTATTCTTAACAGTTACTTCTAAAACGATGGAACTACACAATACCTACACCGATAATTCTACAATTAAATATATATGTAAGGAAAAACATAATATATTTTCCTATACAAACTCTTTTTATAATTTATTTTTTTTCTTTGCCGTCTGATCGACGATGTTTAATTTGTCACTTGACATAATATATGTAAGATGTTTTAATTTTTTCATTATATTATTTTACTTCATAAAACCTAGAATATAGGCTTAAAATGTTGTTTCTTTTGTATTCACAGGTGAGTGAATAATTTGTAAATATATATTTTTTATTAAATGTATATTAATAGATATTTCTTTTGTAAATAAATCTTTGGTATTCACAGAGAAACGCAGTTGCGCCTTATTTATTCCCAGTATAAGCGATTGATACCATTATATATATATATATATATATATATATATGTCGCATATTCAACGCGATTATACAAGATATAATACCTGTTGTATTGTAAGCCGCTTTGCCGGATCCACAGACAGCATTCCGCGTATAAGGTTCTTAGCGTCTGAAGAGACGTTCGACCATTCAGGCTCCGGGAAGTCATACTGTCCTAGTCTAATTCGCTGAAAATTTAATAAGCAGATCAAAACACAGCGCAACCGACAGACTATATATTGTTGTTGTATTGTAATGTCAATTTTGATTGATTTGTATTATTATTTATATTTATATGTGTCGCCCTCATAAAATTTTTACTGTTTTTAATTATTAAACATATCCTAGGGGAGATCGAATTTGAATTAATATCAAAGAAAAACAAATACTGCATAAATAAATAAATAATTATAACTGCATAAGTTGATAAAAAATGCTATGCAATAAGCTTTACCGCGGCAGTCCCCGAATGCCACACGTCTTTTATTTCAATAAATATTATGAATAAAATGATTTATGTAGAAATCAACGATTTACATTTTAGATACATACATTTGACCATGTATGTGATATTATGGAAATTGTATAATATTTGAGTTTAGACTTTCAAGCAGGTATCTTAAATTTCGTCAGTGTATGTATGTTTGCCCACAAATTTATCGGAAACTAAAAATCACATGATGATCCTGGTTTTAACGTTTTTATAAATTTTGCATTTGTAAAATTAGTCTATTGTCTATGTTGAAAAAGTTTACTATAATTCAATGTAAAAGGTTCTTTTAAAAGAAAATTATTAGTGGTGTGAGTTACCTTTTTCATTCCTGGCGATATGGCAAGACCATGATTCGAGTAGAAAGGTGGGAACCCGCACAGTAATATATACATCACTACACCTAACGACCAGATGTCGCAAGATTTGTCATATTTCTCTGGACCCAGGACCTGAAAATTTTATTTAAAAATTAATGAAATAATAAGAAAATAATCAGTGGCGTAACTATACCATCTGGGGCCCGTGGCAAATTCTTTTAATGGAACCCTATCAGAAGAATCGTCTCGTTGTACTCAGTTTAATTTTAATAAACTTTAAGATTTTCAGAGTACTCAATTACATGTTGTATATGTTCCACTTATGGCCATAGGCCTCTATTAGGCGAGAGGGAATGGTCTGTAGTCCCCACGTTAGCCCAATGCGTATTGGAGACTTCACACTCATACATAGAACATAATATCTCTTGGGCAGGGGGCCTCTTGGGTCGGGAGCCCGTGGCATTTTGCCAGCCCTGCCACCCTATTGTTACGCCACTGGAAATAATGGACCGATTTCCTTATTTCACCATAAAATAATCCGTGTCTCAATTTTCAAAATCTTCAGTTTCAGGTCTTTTATTCCATAGAACTCTATTTGTAGACCAATGGGCTCTATGTGTGCATTTGACACACACACATATGCTAAACGAAGACATCTTAAAAGATATAACGATATCAGAAATCTGAAGCCATAAGATGGGCGGTATTGCCCAGTTTGTTGTATAAGCTATTTTCAACTCTAGGACCGTGTATTCGAACCTTAGTTGAGCATCAATGGATATATTTTGCTTACGTATGGAACGAAAAAACATCGCGAGCAATCTAGAACTAAAAATCGAGAGAGTGTCATCACTTTACCTATTAATAATTTGTCATAATGCAGATATCTAAACCTATAAAATTATTATTAAAATATTGCAAGTAATTTATGTGTAAGTAAGATTCAGATGTTTTCCCTTACGTCAAAGATATACTATATTTTGATTTAAAGGAGTCATATTTGGCGTTAAGTATCGTTACTGAATCTCACCGTTAGTCGAACGTACGAACGTACTTAGCACGAAGTACGAATACAGTATGTCAAAAATGGATTGAATTTGACATAAAGCAGTCATAGTTACTTTAAATTACCCTTAGATCAATCTTATTCATGTAAACATACCTCCGGCGCAACATAGTATGGTGTATAACAAGGTGTTTGTAATGTGTCCGTGTGATTCAGCGTTTGTTTTGCGAAGCCAAAATCCGTGAGTTTCAGTATAGCGTTGGGCTCTGTGGTTGTGTAGAGCAGGTTCTCGGGTTTGATGTCCCGATGTGCAATATTTGAGTCGTGTAGATAGCGTACTGCTACGCATATGGAGTGCATAATCTGAAAATAATTTATTTTAAATTAAAATAGCGAATGAAATGTCAAATTGCTTTCATTACAATCACATAACATAATCTCCCAGGAGTTAGTCAAAGAAGGATGACAATTTTGACTTTCGTATTTCTTAATTTCAAGGTCATATCTCCTAGGTAAGAGACCGGGAGTCGATTCCACATTTCGCTAGCTCGCAAAAGAAAATCGTCGCTGTAGAATGATAACCTCGTATGTCCAGAGAACCAAACATTAGAGGAAACAAAAAAAATGTTTCATTTCGTCAATGTTCGTTTGAACATTATATGTGTTTTTGTCCATAGTTTTGGATGGTAAAAAGGAATTATTTATTAATAACATAAATAAGTCCTTACTTCATGACTATACTAGTTAAATGACATAAGAGTCTAAGAATAAATAATGTTTTTTTGACATACGAGGTTATCATTCTACAGTGACGAAATGTCTTGTGCAGCGAATCGTGGAAGACTTCCATTAGTACCTATAAACTTCTCGCTCTATAGAGGCGACGAAAACTTAGAGAAGCTAATCGTGATTGGCAACACCGAAGGCGGAGGACTGATCAAGTCAAAGACTCGTGGTCCTCAAAATTATACACCGTTGTAAAGGAACTATTATTTTTGAGAGCGTTGCTTACGTTTGCTGAAAAGAGGAAGGGGGGGATAAATTGCAGTAAATCTGCTTACGTAATACTTGAACGTAGTTAAAAAAAATTAAAACGTCTTTACCTCAGCTGCTTGCCTCTCCGTAAATGCACCTTCCCGATTATCCTGGATTCTCTGGAAAAGCTCCCCTCCATCCATACACTCCATGACTACTAGCAGGCACCGCCTACCACCATACGTATTATCGTATGCATCAACGATCTGAAACAAATAGCTTTTTTGAAAAGGTGCAACCGTATCATGTCCCTGTCTTACCGACCGCTACAAATCTGTGCGAGAATTGCATTCATCTACATATATTTTTATTTTTATGAATTGCTGTTCGATTCTCTCTTTAAAACTCAAGAGAAACTCAAGTTATGTAACCTAACATTAGTTAACTAAAATATATATATATATATTTTAGTTAACAAGGAAGCATAAACCAAATGTTAGCAATCCTCGCACACTTGAAGCTAAAGCCTCGAGCTTGAGTTAACCTGAAGAGAAGCTGAGCCCTTCAGTTCCACACTCATAAATTGTAATAAAACCTTCTTGTTTCCGATAATGTCCAATAACATAAGTGTCACTTAGATTTACGAACTCTTTCAATAAGTCAAGTTAGTTTTTTGTTAATCCAGCGTCGCAACCCCACTAACCCTAATGTTATCTTAGTTATAAGGTCATATTTTAAACGATTAAAGCCAGTTTTTACCCAGCTTCAAACAAAGTGTTTCATTTAACATATATCTGAACATATTCTCTCATCAAGGTTTTTTGAAGTGAAACTTCTTTAGGCGCATGAGGGTAAATTTTTTATGGAACGCAATAATAATAATAATATTAGCGTCACAAAGATGTGCAGCGTTTTTGTCGAAGAAAAGGGAGAGAGCGATTGCGATCGATTGAGAGAGAGTGAGAAGGGCGAATTACCTTACAGAAATTCTATTTTTAAAATTAAAATTTCGTAAACGTAAAGAATTTATGAAATATTAATATTTTATGCAAAATAATTTATGAAATCTCTAATGACGAATTGTAAATTAAAATGCCACGTGTTTTTATCATCGATTTAAAAAATTAAATTAATTAAATTCCTAACATATCTTCCTATTTCCCTCCCTCTAAGTCTCGGAAATCTAAAATTTTAGATTTGTATAAATATGAACAAGACTTAAAAATTTGTTTGCCAAAGAAGTTTCACTTCTGACATGTGTACTTTGTACGCACGCACTTTTTTTTAATAAAACGCACGCAACTATAGCAATTCAGGGTTATTCCTATTTTAAAAACTGGCCAATGCTTGAGCGATAACTACTTACTTCTACGATATGCATACACCCACTTCCAGTCCAATGGAGATCAACCTCTCGCCTGGCTTTCGGGCTGTCATGTAACACCTTCAATGCCCGGCGCATACCAGTTTTCTTTTCCTTGCATTCAACCACCTGAAATAAATTTATTTTCGATTAACGTATGTAGCGCCTTAGTTCTGGACATCCGAGGACGATACACATTTTTTCATACAACAGTGGGCAAACTGGAGGCTCATCTGATGTTAAGTGATACCGCCACCTATGGACACTCTTAATGCTATAAGGCTCGCAAGCAAATATCCTTATTCGTGCACAGAAACATACATATTTTTAAGTCGAAGTAAGAAGTAGACATGGGAAGAAATTGGCTGTGCCTAAAATCAATCTGGAACTGTTTAGGAAAAACACCTTTTGAAGGGCAATTAAGGTTTACAATAAATTACCAAAAGAATTAAAAGATCTTCCGGCTAGTCTTTAAAAAGCGACTTGGTGTATTACTTTTAAAAAAATGTACCTACTATTCAATAAATGATTATTTGCGTGAGACACTGTAGTTGACATAAATTTAATAAAGCATGATATGATATGTACGATACAAATAATATAAGAATTGACTTTGACTTACAATGTAAAATGTAAAATGTAAAATTCCTTAAGACAAATTTGCGCGCCATTGTGAGTGGCAGAATATGCGAACTTACGATCGTACCACCTTACACAATTTTGTACCATATTCTTTCAAAAAATAAATTATTAATATTAAGTGCGTAACCGACTTTAAGAATCGGTACTATTTTTAGGACTCGGAATTCGTAATTAGGAGGCCCAACACAAACATATTGAGTGTACTTATGTACACGCGTTAGAAGTTATAATTCTTTGGCGTAATAATTTTCTTCGAGCACTTTAGAGGGACGTTTCCCTCTTCGAATCGCATTTTTATTGTCCATTTTAATGGTCACTTCCAATCGAAACGATATAAAATGTAGTAATCATGATATTCTCAAATAGACATCATTATTTTGGTTTAAATAAACACGACTCTAAAAAAGACTACGCCATGAGAGACAATGCAACTTGTCGATAAAACAGAGCAAGCGCCAACTAGCGGGCCAGACTGTTTTACCGACGTTTGAATAGATAATCAGGGTGTCAGTTTTTGGTGACGGTGTGCGCGCGCATCGTAAAAATTTACTCACATAATTTTTCCCTAACGCGCCAAAAGAAGTATAACTTCAAAAATTAATTTCGAATGTGACTCGACCCATTGCAGTCAACTAAAACCTCCAGTTTAGCTCTCCGCTACTTGGGAAAATATAATTTTACCTATTTTTCTACAAAATAAACAAATTACTCCGCGAGATAAATATGAGCTATATTACAGCTCACTTATCAAGCATAAACGGTATCAAAATTCTGATTGTTTAACTATGAGAAAGTACTATGCAAAAATGCATTTTATGTCATGTCTGAATCACAATGCTTTTATTACAAAACATGAAAAATATTTTTCTGAACACCACAACGTCCTGTACTCGCAGATACCATATTATACATTAATTACACCACATTGCATATGTAACGAAAATAATTGTGAAATTTTCTAAAAACCATTGCATAAACATGACGTAATTTATGCTGCATTGCTTTACATCAAATGATTCGTGGATCTTAGCGCTAAATCATTTTCAAAGAAACGCAATTTCTCACGAAATCAAATGTTAACAAATCTATTTCCAACATTGCTTCTTTATAATATGAGTCATTATTTAACCACGTAGCACATACGTTCAAATCACCTTTGCGCAACAGGCTATTTGACAATATAAAAATAAAGTTTTATATTAGTGTATACTCACTAAAAAAAACTAGCTGCTGTGGTCTCTGGCAGAATGACCAGCTCTGTGGAACATTCGGCTCCTCAGCAATGCTGAGCCAGGGCCAATTACACAACGCATTACACACTTGAAACAAACCGAATGGGAAAAGGGAAAAACATATTTTTTTGATATCTCTCATTATATATTTTATTTTTTTCTTTGATTATTGTTATTTTGTGTGTTGGTTAGTAATAAATGTTATTTTATGTCAAAAAAAATGGCGTTCCAATCATTTTCAGGTCTGGGCCTGGGTATGTGATCAGCCTCCTGTGCCATACACACGCCATCGACTTTTGGGTCTAAGGCAAGCGGGATTTTCTTACACCGTTTGAGCGAATGTTAAATTCGCACATAGAAAGTCCAATGGTACACAGCCCGGGGATCGAACCTACGACCACAAGAATGAGAGTCGCACGCTGAAGCCACTAGGCCAACGCTGCTAAATTATTATTTTTTATAATGAAGCGATCACGCATACGCTCAACTGTATTTGCTACAACTGATAATATGTATATTTAAACACAGATAACTCTTGACAGATAGCAAAATGTTTTACGCATTACGCTGTTTACAATGACGTTGTAATGACACATTTTGTATGATAATAAGTTACATATACCTTCGGAAGGCGTTGGTCTATTTTTTACGTAGATAGAGTATAGAACTAGATGAGACTGTTCGCACGCACTTTTTTTTAATACAATGTGTCTTTACTGAGACATCATAGAACATTACGATCTAGCCTAATTTACTAATAGCGATATTTAACATAAGTGTGCAATAACACTATTTAAACCGGTGGCGCTTCAACTGTTTTAGGTCTGGGCCTCAGATTTCTGTATCTGTTTCATGATCATCATTGATCAATCTTATAAGCGAGTAGGTGATCAACCTTCTGTGCCTGACACACGCCATCGACTTTGTAGGTCTAAGGCAAGCCGGTTTCCTCACGATGTTTTCTATCAACGTTCGAACGAATGTTAAATGCTCACATAGACAGAAAGTACATTAGTGCACAGCCAAGGATCGAACCTACGATATCAGGGATGAGATTCGCACACTGCTTATCAATAACACTACTTACAGTCTCTATTAAGGGGAAAGAAACTCTGTTCTTGTGTTCTATTATTTTTAAATAATAATTTACTTAATAAATATAACAAAAAATTATCGATGGTGTCGCTACCACTTTCGAATAGGGAACAAAGTGCCTGTGCCTTATTATTCTTCTTAATTTTCCATCTAGCCTGTAAGTAGCCAGTCAGGCCATAAATACTGTTACATAAAAACTTCTTTTTTCAACTTTCAATTATTTTGAATTGGAACACGGATATTATGTTAAAAACTTCTTTCGATTTTGCGCCATTTCACATATTTTTAAGTGTTAATTATCAAATTACAATATGGAATATGGAAGAAAATAAGTCAACCCTTTTAGACTTCAAATTATGATCAGTTTTAGACATGGCCTGCTCTAAACGACACGGCGACATAGTCTCTTAAAAATATTTGTAGGAAGCAGTGGCGAAATTTCCCTTGGAGAGTGCGTAAATCCATAGATTCGTGGTCAAACAGATTAAAGGCCTGTATAAAAGCCAAAAGTGTCCATTTCGAATAGAATATTGTTTATTTTTTGCTGAGATTTTAATAGATAATGTAGGTATAAATTTTAATAAAATTACATTACTTACTTCATTAAAAAATATGTATTTTCATGTGTAACAGAACTTATGGCTGGATTAGCTATATCATTGGAAATAGTTCCACCGCCCTACTGTTGATGTAATAAGACTATTTATAGATTATTAAAATGTCAGAGATATATATTATAACGCTCCATTGCTCACTGGGATGTAAAATATACCCAAATCAGTCACAGACTGTTGGATATCGAGAACATAAAGCAACGTATATAATGTTTGGAAAATCGACTGAAAAGAGTTGCACTTTAAGATGTTGTCATTAGAGAATCTTAGAAAATTAAAAATAATTTATTTTCTCCCATATAACATTTGCAACAAACAATAAGATTACAGTTGAGTATGTATTGGGAGTACAATTTGGAAAAAATGTATTTTATTTATAATATATTATTTATATTTTTATTTATAATAAATGATTATTTGCGTGAGACACTAGTTGATATAATTAATAATGCACGGTACAAATAATATAAGAATTGGCCAATTCATATGACTAATAATGTAAAATGTAAAATTCCTTTAAAGACAAATTTGCGCCAGTGTGTGAGGACGAATATGCGAACTTACGATTGTACCTTACACATTTTTGTACCATATTCTTGCAATAAATTATAATTATTAGCCTATAAGTTCTTGTCACATTAAAATTTTTATCATATTTTTCTTGTACCACTGTATCAGTGTGCCTAGCGTTGACAAGCTTTTATAAATAAATCAAAAAACAATCCATTTTTAAAGGGATTGAGTAGACATACCATAAGACAAGAGGGAGACGAGGCAGAAGATCGAGAGGTCTTAGCCAGATAGGCTGTAATTGCGATGACGGCGGAGACAGCAATACTGGAGTCACTTGGACCTCGTTCACTCTTACCCGTGAGGGGCCTATAAGATGTAGAATTTCATAACTTATTGTTGAAGTTTTGTGTGTATCTTTTTATATTTTACGGAATTAAATAAAGCTTTATTAGTATGAAGATGTATAACTAGAATATTTAAAATCTACAACATAGTATGTCAACATGAGCAATATTCAAAAACAACTAAGTAAACAATTTCTCGGTATTTGTTTTGAATAAAAATAATGTATTTCTTTAAATCATCACGCCTTTTTCCCGAAGGGGTAGGCAGAGACCATGGATCTCCACTTGCTACGGTCCTGACATACCTAGCTTCATCCACTTACATGACATTCACCATACATTCTCGTCGGTTATGGGTACCTTTGCTTGTCCCTTCCAGGTGTCTGTATTGTCTCTCCAGGTGTGTATGACAAGGCCTACCCAACCCGATCTCCCAATCCACGGTTGCCGTTTATATACCACTTGTTAACCGCTTCTCATTCATCCGTTCTACATGGTCAAACCACCTAAGGAACTACCTTGCATATGCAATAAACGAAGAAGTAATCAAAAAGCCACTTCTTCCTTACTCCTGTGTAACATTATTGTTTAAAACACAAATGCCAGTGTGAATCAAAGAAAAAACGTCCTCTCACGTATCTAACTATTACACCATGCAATGTAACACCACGAGCAGTGTTGGCCTAGTGGCTTCAGCGTGAGACTCTCATATCTGATGTCGTAGGTTCGTTCCCCGGCTAAGCACCAATGGACTTTCTTTCTAAGTGCGCATTTAACATTTGCTCGAACGGTGAAGGGAAACATCGTGAGGAAATCGACATGTCTTAGATTCAAAAAGTCGATGGCGTGTGTCAGGCACAATGTAAAAATGATCATGAAACAGATTCCGAAATCTGAGGCCAAGATCTAAAGAGGTTTAAATCTCCAGCTCCTGGACTTAAAAAAACAGACTCTGAAAATCAAAAATGCATATACCAACTTCGCGGCAACAGATGGCGTTAATATGGGAATATATAATAAAATCCTTCAGTTTGATGTGGCAGTTATTTCTTTAGTTAAAGTGCAGTTAGACCCTTTTATCAATAATAGTGTAACAATTTATAACAAACGTTTCATTTGAATAGGTTTAAACTAACATGCGAGTTAACCCAGATAATTCTATCGATTTGTCATTACGTATCAAGGTTAAAGATAAGAAATTTTTACAAAAACCTACGTAAAAGACTGGCTATGAATGCAAAAAAAAATATATATACGTCAATTGTTTAACAAAAAGTATAATAGTCCTCGTAAATTAGTACGTCAATACAATAAAGGGTGTAATTGTATTGATATATTCGGTAGTGGGCTGATCAAGTTTAGAAACAGCATTGTTAAGTACCTAATGCAATATTTAGCTAGTAATTTTTCCTTATCAATACGAAAATATCAAATTTTTATTATATTTTTAATTTTGTGTAACATTTATGTCATGTATTTTAAAATAGATAAGTTGTAGCATATACCGTAAGGGGAGTAAAGGGAGAACGGAAGTAACATTATGCCCGGCCCAATTGTCAAGTTGACAAGGTCAACCTAATCTGTACGTGCGACACTGCGGCGATACCCGGTGACCCTGTTAAGATGCGCTTACACGGGCAACTAAAATTGCTCAATTCCAGTCAATACTCGTCAACTATGACGTCACGACTACATCAAGCAATTTACGGCAACGGCAACAAGCATCAATACTGCGCAATACAATCTTGAGCGATATGGCGCAACTTCATCAACTAGGCAATACTGTCCTACACGAGCAATTCAGTATTCGCTCGCAATAGACGACATTGTTCTTGCTGCGGCGGCTTGTAGCGCTTTTTTCATTATTAATCAAAAACAAAAAAGAAAGAAAAGGAATAGGCGTATCTGGGTGCGATCGTTTTTGGCCGCAATTTTCATTGTGTAAAGAATTAGATGATATATTATTCAAAAACTTTACTAGAACGTCAATGTCTAGATTAGTATACCTTCAGCGACCTTGCGAGGAAATAATCCCTTAAATGTCTGGGGCAGATGGCAACAGAAAACCACTGCTCAATATTGTTACCTAGGAGTCAGTTCAATTATTACGTAACAAATTTGGAGGGAGGGGGGAATCCTTTTGTAAAACATTACGATGCGGTGGGGATTGAATTAAGCCGTTATTGTTAATATTATTTTCGACTTTCCAGTACTTTACACCACATAATGGTAACTTTTAGGTATAAAGAGTCACTAGGTGGTCACGAAACGTTTTACTATACTTGGGTACAGAAAAACGTTACGGCGCGTTAGATGGAGGGGGGTTTCTAATCTAACATTAGACAATCTATAAGTATTCTAAAAATGTTTTGCAAATTATATGTTTACCGTTAATGGTCATACATTTTTCTTATTTTCAAATTCAATTCAAATTCAAAATCATTTATTCATTTAGGTAACACAATGTAAACTTATGAACGTCAATATAAACATTAAATGCTTCTAATTTTACATTTACTGCCGGTTCTCAAATCAAGGGCATAGAACGGACGAGAAGAACTGGCAATAAACTCTCCGCCACTCTCTTTAATCGCCAAGTTTTTTGTTTTACAAAATGTTTGAAAGGAGCTGCAACCATTAACACCATGTTCCACGTCATGACATCTTTAAGTAATTAATAGTTAATTACTAATTAAATAAAAACACAAAGATTTGTCCTTTATCAGCAGTAGGCATGGTGAAATAGGAACACGCACTTACATTCTCATAGGAACAACACGCAAATACATAGTTGAAATAATAGGCCGGGAGAAAGTATCACATAATTGTGGTTCATTTGTACCAGTATGGCGGTTCTTCAGGGGTCTTATTACGAAATTAAAAAAAGAAAATTGATGGTCATAGCGCTGGTACCAGCGGCCCAAGCGCGTGGGCGTTAGTCGAACTCGTCGGATTGAATACGACATTCAAACGATTTCTTCCACAAAAAATCTAGTATTTTCCGATAGTCCATAAAGCTAAAGCTCAAATTACAATACTCATTTTTACAACGGTAACTATTCCAATCATAATTATAAATGTAATAATTATAATAATTGTTTTGTTGAAGTAGGTGTTCGCGAAGGACTATCAAGGCCTTGAATGACGTTGTATTTAAAAAGGTGTTCAAAATTTAATTTATAATTAAAGCGACTGTCAAATGTTTTATAGAAACTTCTAGAAATTAAAAGATTATATAACAAAATTAAGATTATTTTATTGTAATGTAGGAACGTGTTACATATATTTTTTACATACAGGATGTCCCAAAAGTCGACGTCAAGTCGAAATTTTCTCATAGGTAATGCCACACCAGTTATCAGAAAAATTAAAAAAAAAATTAAGTCATGTATTTTTGAAGTGTGGTGTAACACTTACTTCATTATTTCTTAGATCGGCCATAAAAAAAATTTTTTTTTTAATTTCTCTGGAATAACAAAAAACGATTCTAGTGTACCCAAAGCGTTCCTAATAACCACAGCGTGGTTTAAATAAGATGGCGTAAAGTGTGAGCGAGACAGATAGTGACGCTACTTATTGCTATTGACACACGCACTACAGGTCAGTACGCAACGCTCCTTCGTTTACTACGCATCTTTTCGTATTCGCTGGTGTTATTTTGTGTTCTAACTACTTTGGCTTCGTTTACGGACTTGTTTGCTTGTGATTTGGATTTTACATTTGTGATCTACGACGACCTTTACTTTTCCCTGGACTTACGTGTTATTGTGTATTTGTACCATACCATGGCTACGTACACTACACAGGAATATGCTAACATGCACCTCATTTATGGGGAATGTTTATGTAATGCCAGTGAAGCCGCTAGACGGTATCGCGAGAGATACCCTAATGCAGATCGCTATCCGGATCACAGAGTTTTTACCAATGTGCACCGTCTACTATTCTCTGAGGGCCGACTGCCAAACCAAGTGCACGGTGAAGGTAGAATTTCACTACCCTACGAGGCAGTTGTCCTTCAAGCAGTTGATGAGGACCCAAGTTGTTCGGTACGTGGAATTACAATCCTTATTACCTCGAGATTATGAACCTCGGGTTGCTTTTTGCCAAACAATAATTCAAAAACACCGAGAAGACTCACAATTCTTAGAAAAAATTGTATGGTCGGATGAATCAACTTTTAAAAAAGACGGCTACATGAACCTACACAATCTGCACGAGTGGCACGTCGAAAATCCACGATTGATGAGACCAGACAGATCACAGTACCGTTTCAAAGTTAACATGTGGACTGGAATTTTGAACGGAAAAGTCATAGGGCCTTTTGAGTTACCAGAAGTTTTAAATGCTGAAATTTATTTAGATTTCTTACAAAATCATTTGCCAAATTTGCTGGAGGACGTGCCGCTTACTATTTTACGAGATATGTGGTTCCAGCAAGTTGGTTGTCCAGCGCATTACAGCCACTTAGTTCGAAACCACCTTAACGAGGAGTATCCAGACAGATGGATAGGGCGGGGTGGTACAATCTCGTGGCCCGCCCGCTCACCCGATTTAAATCCTCTTGATTTTTTTTACTGGGGAGCAGTAAAGGAAAAAGTCTATTCCAAGTCGATGCAAAATGTAGAAGAATTAGACAGAGAATAGAGGAAGCAGTAGAATTTGTGAATAATGGACGATTTGCCCGCTTCATTTCACGATCTTTTTTAAGGAGATGTCGAGCCTGTATTGCAGCTGAAGGACGGCAATTTGAACATCTTTTATAAAAAAAGTAATAAATCTAATCATAAAAAAGAAACTGTCTATTTTACTTATTTGCGTCCGTATGTCATAAGCGTCACTACCTGTCTCGCTCACATTTTATGGAATGTCTCTCTCCATCTTATTTAAACCACGCTGTGGTCATTAGGAACGTTTTGGGTGCGCTAGAATCATTTGTTGTAATTTCAAAGAGATTGTTAAAAACAGACTTTGTTTAACAAAAAAAAATTCTTATGGCCGATCTAAGAAATAATGGACTCATACCACTGTAGAATCCTTATTAAATGCGCTAACTTTTAAAGCTACTTGCCAAACTGGAGTAATACATTTTTTCAGGACGATCAGTTGAAGCAGTGCGAAAATTAATTTTGAAAACTTGGTACGGTATAAAATGACATTTTCCTAAAAGTTGGAGTGATCAGCACAGAGTTTAGGATCATAGGTTACATAAAACACTATTCGGGATGACGTAAGAGAAAAAAAATTGGTAAAAAGTTAATATTTGTAACAACAGGAATGAAAAAACTGTCACATCGTGTACATTTTCTGGAATAAAAGGAAAATATCCATAACTTCAAAAATATTTTTTTTTTTTAATTTTTCTGATAACTGGTGTGGCATTACCTATGAGACAATTTCGACTTGACGTCGACTTTTGGGACATCCTGTATACCTAAGGGCCTGCGTGGCCGTGTGTAGTTTTTAAATTTGTATTAAATTTGGTAACCGTCATTTTTAATTAATTTAAAATAAATTGTAAAATTATGATAACCAAAGAGTTTTAATGCGTCATGTATTTTAATTGTTATTATAACACTACACATTTAAATAAAGCCTTCAGTAATAACACTTAATTTACATCACAATAACACAAAAGTGGAGAAAAATCTAAATAAATGAAGACAAAGCATGTTAATAAAATACCCATACAGAACTAAACTACGCGAATGATTAAATTGTTTACATAGTTTGACGTTTTGAACCCACTTTTTGAAGTTATACTTCTTTAGGCGCGTTATGAAAAATTGATGAAAGTGAAATTTTACGATGCGCGCGCACCGTGACACAAAATTAACAGAATGAAGTTGCCCACGGAAGATGCTACGGACATAATTTAAAAACAACATTCGAATAATAACAGAATTTATGTTATTTAATGTAAGAGAATAATAATAAATATTTATTTATTTAATTTTTCAAATGTAAACTGAACTTTATTGACTATAATGACTCCAGTCTTTGATTATTTAATTGTAATTAATTATTTGCATGCAATCAAAAACTATTTTTAATAATGCCAAAGAAGTATAACTTCTTACGCGTACTTACATAAGTACACGCACCCTTTTTTTATATTGAACAAACGGGCAGGTTACCTGACCATGATAGTACCCATAGACACTCTCAATGCCAGAGGGACTCGCGAGTATGTTGCCGACATTTAAAAAATTGGTCCGCTCTTTTCTTGATCATGGAGAGATTGCTGAAGACTCTCACTGCCGAGAGACTGACATTTCTGACTCTTATTAATTATTTTCTTAAAGACCAAACCCCACCTCCGATGCCTGAACTACTCTCATCATAATCACGTTGTATTTAGATCTGATAACCCACATGTGATAAGAACGAGGAAAAATATTTATCATAAAAAATGATGACGCATTGAAAATTCTCTCTGTAACGGTGTTTACGAGTTACAGACACTAGTTCTAGTTAACTGTGTAAAAAATCCTTATCATCGTTATTTTTAAACACACTGTATATAATACCAATGTACCATACATAATGGTTGTATTGATGAGTTATGAAATTAAGTTATTTTACATATATTCATTAATCTAGTTGTGTTTGAAACGGTAACATTCTTTGTAAGAACACTTGAAAATCTTAAGGTTAGTAAATTAATTTTCTAGTGTTTCACTGTATTTATGAGTAATCTTACAGCTACACATTATAAAAGAAACCACTTAGTAATAATAATAAGAATCAATCGTTTATTTGCAAAGAGAATTAAATTCAGATTGATTAATATTGATTTTTATGTAAGTATGTTTGTAACGAATTGGCTCAAAAAGTACTGGACCGATTTTAAAAATTCTTTCAACATTTGAATGCTAGATACATTAACACTGATTAATATAGGCTACTTTAATTTCAAGAAAACAATAAGGATCCCTACTAAAACTACAATAATGTTACCCAAGCTGTTAAAAAATGCCTATAAATATCTTTCATCGCATGCGCTGCGAAAACGAAAAAAAATTCCACAATATTAAAGAACGTATCAATATCTACAAAAATGTTTAAATGCCTACCCGTGCGAAGTCGGGCCGGGCCGCTAGTTATTTATAATTGTTGTCAAAACTTATGGTCTAAATTCTCTTCCACAAAATTTAATCACCATCCCCTTGTAAACATTACACGGCAGTCTATAACTTCTGGGAAAGGAGGTTAAATAGTTTGATAGCCTTGGACAACAGATTACAGAAACAGAAAAAGTCAATTAAGTATATTTAAATATTAAAAATTAAACTGAAATTAACCATTAAACAAATGTGACAAGGTTCCAACGCATTATCGATTTGCTACTTAATTCGGCCAAGACTCTTGTATAATATAATACTCAAATTGACCAACTGTGCCTAACACACGCCGTCAACTTTTTCAATTCTACGGCAAGACTGTTTCCTCGCGATGTTTTCCTTCACCGTTCGAGCAAGTGTCAAATGCGCACATAGAAAGAAAATCCAATGGTGCACAACCGGGGATCGAGTCCTGAAGACACTAGGTCAACACTTCTCAAGCATTTATACCTGCATTTTACCAAATAATATAATTTATTATTTTCAGATGCGATACAGTCTACTCCTAGCAATCATTATTGGGACGTTGAAATTTAATGACGCTTTACGGATTCTAGTCTTCTTTCCTATTTCATCAAAGAGTCACAGTATATTGGGGTATGCAGCAGTGGACCATCTACTGAAGGCTGGTCATGAGGTAACTTTCACTTAACCTTAAGGAGTGCATCCTACATCTCCTGATGCCAAAGGTAAACTAGAAATCATCTGAAGTTTGGCATCTTCGTTTGCCTGGTGAGGGTATCTCGGTCAAGTCACAGAACCGCGACTTATTGCTACAGAACAATAAGTTTTATAGAAATTTGTCTTGAATTCTTAACTATTTTTCTTGACTACTTTCTCTTTTTTTATTTTTATTTATGGCTCTGGCACGATTTGTGCAGCCAGCGTCAAGTATAGGATTTTTTATAATTCGTGCTTGTCTTTTAGAAATTCGACAGTGTCCTCTATGTACGGTTTCAGCACTCGCCCAGTACCGCACAACGCTTCCAAAGGCCGAGAATTTAAATTTAACAAAAAAAACAAATTTAAATTAAATTAAAACTTGCCCTCGAACCGGGAATCGAACCCGGTACCCCTCACCTAGCTGCCACTTAATAAGACCGCTAGTCTATGAGGCCCCCATACACTTTATCTCTTTACAACAGCATAAATAAAATTTGATTAAAAAAGAAACTAGTATTTGTAGATTATTCAAATTGCATTACGGCTTTATAAATTTGATTTCCAGGTGGTGCATATAACCTCATTCCCTAGGGAAACCCTTAACCCAAATTACACAAGAGTGATCGATGTATCAGAAGTTGGTCGACAAACAAAATCAGCTACATTAAACAACAGTAAGTATTTTATTTCACAATAAGATTTATTTATTTAGAACGTGCAGAGTGGCAATACATACACGCACTCCCTTGGCTCTGCGGCCCAAAATCTTGGCCTCCGAAACAAGAAACTTCCAGCATTCGCTATCCCGTCAATTCCAACGGCTGGCTTTCAGTTCCAACTTCTCCACTCTGTCCATCCAGAGGAACTTTATTACAGAAAAATAACAGTATATAGATAGAATAGAGAACTTGTGTGGAGGGGGGAGGTTGTATTCTTCCTCCGACCTACAGAGAGAATCCTCAAACAGTCTAAAAACTGACTGCCCGAAGTCCCCAGATGCCACCAACACTGGTGGTACTTGGTACGAGCGGAGCCTTGTCCACCTCCCACCACGCACCACTTACGTCGCAATATATTTTAACATCAGTATTATTAAATCATCGCCCCGTTTTTGCTTTCGTATGAAGTCCCATAGCTCCTTGGGGCGTGGGGCCGGGGCAGGGCTATTTTATTGACACCTGACAACGCTGAGAGCTGGCAACCTATTTTCAATTATTTACATAATTTTCTTTAAAGTGACATAAGTCCTTTAAAGTGGGTCAATAATCTCCAAAAATTGCGTGACGTAATACTTGAAATATGCCTATGAATTTCTCACGATTTTTTCGTTTCGTACAATCAAGTATTAATTGCGTAGGTACATAAGATGTGATGACCTTTAAGAACCGAGGCTCGCACTTGCGTGCCACCTAGCAGTGCGAGTGTCTTTGGACGGCGGTATGACTTAACATCAGGTGAGCCTCCTGCCCATTTGTCCCTGTTACATAAAAAAAAGATAAAACGCGACCTCTCGTTGGTAGGGTATCTACGAATAGAAACGTTGGTCGATGTCGCCTCCTAACATTACCATCAGGCACTGGGCGTGTATGTGATATTGGATATTTTTACCTTTCACCAATTTTCCGGAAAAACAAAATTTTCAATTTAATCGGTTAATTTTTCAGATACGGAGCAGCATTTATTCGTTTTTTTTGACAGCTATTTTAAGTGGGTTTAATTTTTCTAGACTACTAATTAATCGTTTCTACTTGTTCAGAAGAGGGCTACACAATCGGATCACAAACAACACGAAAGCTTGGGTTCAAGGACGCACTTCTTTTCACTTATGAAACCCACCGACGAACATTTGATCATCCAGAAGTAATTGAACTCTTAAGCGACCCAAATGAGAGGTTCGACGCTGTCATCGCAGATTGGGTCCACTCGGATTACGTGATGGGGTATGTTACTACAATGATATATTATATTTTTACTATAATAAGTCAAAAATCTGCGAGTCTAATTACAAAAGGAGGACCAAAAAGTTAAGATCATAGGGTCGTTATGAGCTATATATATATGAATATAAAAAAATATAGATGCATCAACATATTAGACGCTTAAAGTTGATGACATTTATTTCCCACAAAATTTTTCTATCTTAGGACTCCCACACAAAACTGCGATGCGATGCGAATTTCAGCGATACGATTTAGTGCGACGAACCGTTTGGTAGGGCGACCATTCCTTCGTAGTCAGCCGTACTGGACGTGTTTTTAGGACGCGTAAGATGGATCGCAAAAAGATAATTGCACTGCTGTTATTGTTAAATAGATATAAAAGAAAAAGAAGATTCTGGGTTCATCCATTTATTACGATTATGAACTCTGATGGGAACTATTTTATTCAAAAGTACTATGCGTTGAGAACTGAAGAAGATAATTTTTTTGATTATTTTAGAATGAGCATATCTTCATTTGAAGATCTTTTGAGTATATTATCACCATGCCTTCAAAAACGATCGTACAAGGGAAGAAATTTGTGATTATCAGCAGTTAATAGTAATTAATATTATGTAAAATCAAACTCTTCTTCCGTCGACAAAGCGTTATAGGTAGAATAATTATCACTAGGTGAAATAATTTATCTTCCCTACGTTTGACGAGTTCGTGTGATAAATTAAAAAAAATAATAATAATCATTTAATTCATACTAATATAATCTAATAAATTAATGTAGGGGGAAGCTTAAACCCATGTTTGTGGGGTTGGCGCCCTTGTCCCCCGGCCGCCATCTTGGAAAAAGGGGTGAAAACACGTTTTTGGCTACATCTCCTAAACTATCCATTGAAAAAAAGAAGACTTATTCCGTAGCAAATCGCTTTGCCTACAATATGCCTGCGTGACTTTTTAACATAAAGCCAAAATTCAAAAGTTATAAGTAAAAGTGAAAAAAAAAAGCCTTTTTGCATAAAAACTTTTTTCTTTTGATTTTATCAAAAAATTATCTCAGAATTATCTAATTGAAAACGCTGCTACAGCGCTCCAAAGTTGACCGGATTTGTCAATGCTCAAAATAACATTTTACTTTACTTTTATGATCTCTCGTTTATTTTAAAGAAATTTTTGAACATTTTTGTTAAATTCTTACAATTTTACTTATTTGTTACTTATAGGTTTTTAGCTCCATCCCTATCTCTCTTTGCAGGATTGCTCCGTTGCTCCAAACACATTTAATCTGGCTGGGAACAACTGACGCCTACTGGGAAATACTACAATTGATAGACGGGATACCAAATCCAGCTGTTTACATTGACCTGTACTCAAATAATGTAACACCGTTAAGCTTCTGGAATAGAGCAAAGGAACTTTACTATGTCATAGAAAGGTGTATTTTTAGAAGGTATGGCACTAGGGCTTTCTTATACACGAAACGTACTAGCTGTTTTAACTTTAGCCCTAAGAGTAAATTAGACGTAGATTCTAGAGAGCGTTCCAACCCCGGGCAATAGGATAACCATGTTATCATGATTCTTTTTCTCTGGTTAAAATCAGAGACATAGCGCTACTCATAACTCACGGATATATATATATATATTATATAAACTTGCCTATTTTATACCAAATATAAAATATAAGAAATAAAACAAAAGTTTTTGAAGCACTATCCCATTGCATACTTACGGTGGGCTGACGAGCTTAAAGAAGTCGTTGGAGAAAATCAAGATAGAGAGATCGAGCCAGTTGGAAGAGGACTGTACTATATAAGAGGTCCTTGGAAAAAAAATATTTAAAATTATTTATGTATAAAATTTTAAGTGTGTGTATATTAAGATGAATGTTCAATAAATGAGTCTTAATTAGTATTATTATTAAGAAGGTATAATACTTTCATTAAATAAAAGGAAGCTATTCATATTCCAGCCTCTGGATAACTCCAAATGAGAAAGCCAGCTACTACAACCAATTTGGAGCAATGGCAAAGAAACGTGGTGTTGTAATGCCTTCATATGAAGATGCCCATTATAACGCATCACTCATGTTTCTAAATACGCATCCTACCCTTGGAACACCTTTCAAACTGCCACAAAACGCTAAATGCATAGCTGGTTATCACATTAGTGAACATATACCGCCACTACCTCAGGTAAGTACGTTTAAAAAAACATTTCCATTTTATTCCTAGAGGTATATACAATGTAATAAGGTAACCTAGCTTAACATTACTAAGCATTTTTTAAAGGCCGGTAACGCACTTGCCAGCCTTATGGCAGCGTGAGTATGCAAGCTGCGGTATAAAAGTTTGTTGCAAGTTCAATATATATCGGGGCCGCTATGGCGTTTCACCTTAGCGGTACTACATGAGTGGCAGGAGACAGACTTATTATGGTAGGGCCACGATCTAAATGGGGATTTACTCGAGCGTCGTAGAGACTATTGGGATGCAAAGCTTAGATAATAAGAAGAAAAAATTTTATGATAAATTCCTTTCATCGGGGGAAGCGGCTATAGATAGTTAAATATGTAAAAAAACTGTTGCATGGACATCCTCGACCGTCAGAATTGATAGCATCTATCCCTACGTATTTTTAATAATGTACGTATGTTAATCTGATCGTTTGCATGATGCGGGTGGTTGTATTTAAGGGTTGAAAATGAAAAAAAAAAATTATCGAGGCGTCAGATTTTCTAAGGGAGTGTTAAGTGCACCAAAAAAGCTCTCATTCCTAATCGACGATTTCGATGGGACGCAAACCCACAGCCATTTTCATAATTTGCAAAAAAATCACAATTTTGAAATACTCAAGCGCGTCAGATTAAGATATATGTGGTTCATCTTTATGTTCTAAACGTACTGTCTCATAATCTGACGATTATCTAGAGGGATTCGCCTAAAAAAAAATTTAGAAAAACGGTTCACCTAAAGGGCCACCCTGCAACTTCCCGCTAATTCCATTCCTGGGCGCTTAAAATTGATATTTTGAGCTCGCTGAGTTCAAAGAAATAACATTCTTGCATTTGAGCTCTCCCAGGTCGAAAGTCTGAAGAAGTTTCATAGAACTATTTTGGAATTTTCAAAGCAATAACTTTTGAATGGATCAAGCAATTTTCACGCGGTTAGGATGATAAAATGCGGCGGCATCGACGCAGTTTTATATCCTCTATAATTTTGCAATTTTAATTGATCGAACACAAATTTCGGAGTAATCCCGAATAAAACTTTTTCGGGTTTCTTTCGTACGTTTCTCGAAAAGCTTTTGACCACTTAGTGGCTCAACGTGGTTTTTCAAGCTCAAAGGTGGATTAGTTTTGAAGTTGATCGATAAAGAAACCACTTTAAAAAAAAAAATTCTTATTTTTTTAAGATTTTTCAAAATTTCTCAAAATCTATGCGACGGTTCAAATTACAGGAATTAATTTTGAGGGAAATATTAGAGTTTATAGATTCCGATCGGTTTAAGGAAATGTAGGATCCCAGCTGCACGCATTTAACTTTATCGACGAATTGTTATTTCGGCTTGCGGAAATCGTCAGATTATATATTTTTCATTATTCTTGAATTATTTCCTTCAAAATAAAAAAATTAGCTACGCTCGAGAATGTCGAGATGACGTTTTTTACAACTTTGTTGCCCTCCCTTTTTTTCCGTCACTCTCAATTGTCAGATTAGTGGAATATAACTGGATGTAATTAACTCACACAACTGCTCGGGAATTTCGATGGTCAATTTTTTTACTTTGATCCTGTCTCCTCCGGCGGCTTATATATGGACCTCATGTTTTGTGGAGTACTAACCGAGACACTTCCCCCTGTATTTAATCGCTTAGTAATCCGAAATCCCTCTTGGCCCTACCATTATTATTATCTTCAATTTACGGAAAAAGTGAGGTGAGAAAAGATAAAAACAAAATAATTTTATAGGACATTAGGCACATCCAATGCTCTGAAAGGGACTGTACAAATATCGGTTACAATAACTTAGCCAAAACTTACAGGAATTCCAAAAAATCATGGACAACGCTAAACATGGAGTAATATACTTCAGCATGGGCTCAAATCTACGAAGCATGGACATGACTGCCTTTATGAAAACATCTATAATGAATATGTTCGGACAATTGAACGAAACTGTAATATGGAAATATGAGAGTGATTGGGATAACATCCCAAGTAACGTACACTTGGTAAAATGGGCGCCTCAGCAGAGTATATTAGGTGAATAATAAAATCTATCTCGAAAACTAGATGAACTCGCGAACTTCGTATCACATTCATATCTTTGTGTCAAAACGTAATACAACATTTTTAAAAGAGACCACATACATCCTTAAACTACAGCCAGCCATGAAACACACATTTCTGAAGGAGCCTATAAATATATGACAACCAAGTGATACCTCTTTATTCCTAAAAATACATAGAATACAATGAACAGAGTACAGAGTTTATTGGAAAATTCTATTGTCGTTTTTAGAATTTTTCTTTGCTTATTATGTTTCCCGCCGTTTAAACCTTCTCTGGCCTTCCACAAATAATTCAAGACCAAAATTAGCCAAATCAGTCCAGCCCTTATCGAGTTTTAGCGAGACTAACGAATAGCAATTCAATTTTATATATAGAATATAAAACTTATGATTAATCATTGAAAATTATAGTATTTTTCAATTTTAGCGCACCCAAACTTAAAACTCTTTATCACCCATGGTGGTCAACTATCAACGATAGAAGCCATACATTTCGGAGTACCAATCATAAGTATACCGGTGTGTGGCGACCAGATGATGAACTCTGTGACTTTGAAGAATAAAGGCTATGGCATATCAGTCGACTTAAGTAGGACAAGATTGGCATCTGATCTTCTAGCAGCTATAAATACAATGAACGCTAATCCAAAGTAAGTCAATATAGAATGGCTGTAGAAGGCCCAATTATTTTCATAAACAGACATGGATGTAGACAAATGAAAGTAAACTCGAAAGCATTACAAACAATACTGCTAATAAAATAGAACAGACAACACTGGCAATGTCCAAAGCCTCATGCTGTGTCCACATCTCCTTTGGCTCTCCCCTCAGGAGAGCGCGTTCCTTGTAATACAATTTCAATATTATTTGCACTTTATATATAAATAATTTACAGATATAAAATGAAAGCAAAAGCACTATCAGAGGCATTTCTCACCCGACAACAAAACCCAGGTGAAGAGCTGGTCTTTTGGGTGGAGTATGTCGTTAAAACAGGAGGAGCAACATTCTTACGGTCTCCAGCTTTGTCTATACCAATTTACAAGAAACTATACTTAGATTTAATTGCATTAATATTAATATGTCATTATGTACTAAAAAAGTATGTGTGGGTAGCTTTTAAACTTCGTATCTGTAGTAAAGTAATTGATAAAAAGAAAAAGCTAAAGTAGGCTTTCTACATTCAATAGGTTCTCAGAATCTTAGAAATATTTACCACAGGCATTTTCCCCTTATAAAAACTCGTAAAGAAATAGACAAGAGTGAGATGATAGCACTCCCATACAGTTATACTGTGACAGTAAATGAAGCTTTGGCGGTATTTATCTCAGGGAGGCTAATAAAGGGGCTTAGGGTGCGTCCACATCTGGTGAATGTGCACATGAGTTGCGCTAACGAGGTGCACCAAACCATTGCCGTGACTGCTGCACATTCGCCAGATGTGGATGCACCCTTAGACATCACATAAAAAGAAAATGTTGGATTGTGCCACTTAATCATATCACAACTGACATAACTCATCAAATTTACTCATCCATTAGTATGGCAGAAAACTTATAAGTAAATTGTAAAAACATGTTTATAAAATACATAGAATTATATAAATATAGAAGTAGTAATAAAATTGCTAAATATAATGTTGTTTTGTTTAAATTTCTTCAATAAAAGTTTATATTACACACATTTTCCTCACAACTACTTACAGAACTTGTAACATGTTCCAGCTAACATAGAGCATCTCTTTTATTGCATTATGATGTCTTTGTTTTAAAACCTAATTTGACAAGCTGATGTTTTCTCATGTAGTGTAACAGGAAATCTCCTGAGCAAAAACTTTTACAAAGAGTTTATCCTATAATACTAATATAATTTTCTGACGTCACGTTAGTTTGACGTTAATCTGACGTCATCTGAAGTAACTAAGTTTCGTTATGTCATTTTAATCACAAAATATGTATATCCATTTGACTCTCTTGCCTTAAGCTTTTTGCTTTATCTAAACCAACCAAAGCCGAGTGTTTTTGTCACTTTAGGGAATTTGTTCTTAAATCGAGGGACGTTACATGGAGTTTACACTGTATATATATATCGACGACTCATTGGTCTAGTGGTTAGTAACCCCTGACTGCGAATCCATGGGTCCCGGGTTCGATCCCCGGCTGAGACGAACATCGATGTGATGAGCATTTGGTGTTGTGCTTAGGTCTTAGGTGTTTAAATATGTATTTATATCTATCTATCTATAATAATATGTATGTATATCCGTTGCCTAGTACCCATAACACAAGCTTCACCAGCTTAGCATGGGACTAGGTCAATTGGTGTGAATTGTCTTTAAAAAAAAAAAATATATATATATATATATGGATAGCCACAAAATTTTAAAGAATTATTACAGATATAATATAGGTGATACATGAAAGTCATCGTCAAATGAGTCAGTATTTTATCATGCCATTGAACTTGACTAATGTATAAAATATTTATCTGTTCACAGTACTTAAATACTATTTAAATAACATACTTTTAATAGAATCTTTTGAAAATCAATTATTTTTCTAAAAAATACATGTCATTATGTCACTGGCACTGCTGTGTATCAGCACAAATTTCATTCATAAGGCTTAAAAGTACTTGAGACCAATTTATCATAGTTATCTCAAGATAAGGTTTTATAATGTTAATATTACGGAACTGATAAGCAGCTGCGTGAAAAGTTTTACCTGAGACTGCAGGAAAAATAGCTACTTATACATAGATATTTGTTTTACATAACTAACATAAGCACAGGGCGTAGACTTATTAACTGTAATGCCTACACTTTACAATGATAGTAAAGCTATTTGGTAATTATTGTTGCCTTTCTTTTCTTTTATCCACATGGCAGTCTCATGATTCAGAAGACTCAGATGATTTTAATATAGCATAACTCTACATCTAGAGTTGTTTTCATTGAATATAAAAAATTGCATCATTAATAAGAACATGAACAAAGTTCAGTTTCTATAATTATTTAATGATACGAACGATTTGTACGAGCTAATTTGAACCGAATAACAGAAATATATTTTTTTAGTTTACTCATGAGAGCTATTACATATTAAAACCATTCGTTGGACGTTACTAAAAATAAGAGATAGGTATGTGTACAATTACTTATGACATTGGAAGATTTTTTTACGATTGTCGCGGCATAGGATTCCGTTAGGTAGGTATATTTTTGATCTTTACGTCATGCATTGTAAACAATAAGGCAGAAGAAACTAAACTTAACTAATATAGCGAAATAATGAATAACACGTACCTTTCCGTTGATTCCAAGGCCAAGGACTGTAGAGGAAATATCATAGTCATCCGTAATAGGAGTTGTTTTAGGAGTTTTAGGAAAATTCATCTTAAACAAAATTTGTTTGCAACACAGAACACTTATTAAAACACTCACTATAATGCTTTATACATAATTTTCTCGGTACACAGGAGTCCAAAAATTTGCACACGCGGTGACCTTTGTTTATTAATTTATTATTGTATAGAATAAACTACGAATCTTTAACCTTACACAGCGTTAGGCAATTTCAGTTTTACGAAATTTCAGAATTTATACGATTGCAATTAGCATCGTAAATTGAAGTTGACAATTGACAAATCCTCATGCTATCTGAAATATGTCAATGTCAATACAATAAAAATCAATTATAAAGTGTTAAATTATTTATTACATATAATGAATATTATGAATATTGTTTTATACAAGCATATACATTTGAAAATTACATTACGAGTAATATGATATGATTTTTGCATCTTACAGAGCTGACGCTGCAATGGTCATACTTAATAACTTTGTATTCCAGTAGATGTCACTTATATAAAATAGTGTTGCGAGTAAATTTATAAAATTATAGAATTAAAGCCGGCCACGCACTTTTTTTTTTTTAATTTATTTATTAGCCGGATACAAAGGGCAGACGCGACGCTGTCAGCTAATAGCAAAATGTTGCCAACATAATTCTCTTCATATTTCATTATCGATTTATAAAAGGTTTACAAGAAATTAAAATTTGCCCTCTCAAATGGAGCGGTGATGATGAATAATAATTATTTTCTCATGTAGTGTAATAAATCAATAGTTTAGAATTTACAATAGTTACGGCTTCTTAACGGTTTTATGCTTGACATACTGCAGTCACTATCCTCATTATCTGTTGTGTCGGAATCTGTTTTGCTATCGCTTTCTGTTGAAGTCTCAAATCTATTACTACTTCAATTAACCTATAATTTTTCAAATATTCGTCTTCTAGACGTTCCACAAGTCTGCATTGTTCACGCCAGTCTTCATGTGCAATTTTAGCAATAGCTTCTGTTAATTCTAGTATATTTTGCACATTAAGCAAGGTTCAAACTTAAACTTTTGGAATCGATCGGTAAAGCCGTTTAGAAGTTATTAAAAAAAAAAAGATTTTTTGAAAATTCTATTTTTGAGATTTTTCAAATTTTCACGAAAGTTAATGGCAATGATACTCTTTGGATCGCTACCTATTTCGATCCAATCGGTCGAGCCGTTCAAAAGTTATAAGAGGTTTACATACATACACACACACACACATACATACAGCTGCACGGACACCATCGCGGGAATACTCAGGGAAGCTTCCTGTGACCTTAAAACGTTGAGATCTGCTGAAAACTCGATTTTCGCAAAACGGGCTGAAACGTAAGAAACCCACATTTTGAAAAATCTCACATGAGATTGGGGGATGGGGGAGGGGGTTGAATAAAATCTCACCTGTGGGGGGGAGGGAGGTACAGAAAATTTTAAAAACACCTCACGTAATTTATGGACGCCCCCTAAGAGGTTTTATCTATTATTACCGTCATACCTTCATCCACTTTAAAAAAAAAATTTCGTTCATGTCACTATGATTTGGATTGCGATTTAAAAATAAATAGAGCGTTTTCTAAAAATACTTTTTCAAAGCCTGCATCACAGATTAGCCTGGCCTCTATGGCATGCGACTCTCATCCTTGAGGTCATAGGCTGTGCATTTAACATTCACTCGAACGGTGAAGAAAAACATCGTATGGAAACTCGCCTTAGACCCAAGAAGTCGACGGCGTGTGTCAGGCACAGGAGGCTGATCACCTACTTGTTTATTGGAATGACAAATGATCATGAAATAGATACAGAAATCTGAGGCCCTGACTTAAAAAGGTTGTACGGTAAGGCGCCACTGGTTTTTTTGCATTACTAATTATGTAACGATTTTATCCTACAAACTTAGTAACCAACATACCTTCTTACTTTGCCAACAATTTTTAGCGTGGTATGTGGGATGAATATATATTTCGTCCAAAAACACAACGGGCTACTTGTCAAAGATTCGATTTCTTTCTCATTGGCATGTTGCCAGATACATTGAAAGAATGATACACATAGAACGTGCCATCAACACTTTCCCTTTAGACTGGCAACGCTTGAAACAAAAATCCCCTACTTTTAATATTCTTCGTAAGGTTGTATTACTTCCTTGGAAGTCAATGTCTTTAACTTATTGACCGCAATTTATTATTTATTTATTCACATTATTGCTATAATCAGTCAACTAGATCTATGGTTAATGGATTTTTGAAGTTATACTCTTTAGGCGCGTTATGAAAAATTGATGAGAATGAAATTTTACGATGAGCCTAATTTAAAATAACATTCGAATAATAATAGAATTTATGTTACACTTAATGTAAGAGAATAATAATAAATATTTATTTATTTAATTTTTCAAATGTAAACTGAACTTTATTGACTACAATGACTCCTTTTCCAGTCTTTGATTATTTAATCGTAATTAATTATTTGCATGCAATCAAAAACTATTGTTAATAATGCCAAAGAAGTATAACTTCTTACGGGCTTACATAAGTACACGCACCCTATTTTTCGTTTTATCCCATGAGTCATTTTACTCGAAATAATTATTGCCGTATTTTTTCCTTTCTTTTTCGGTCACATGAAATTGACAAAATAGAATACTCTACAAAATAAAATACGACATATTTATTTGTATGTTTCAACAAATCTAAATGTTTATTCATTATTCCCAACGTGTGGGTAATTAACAATATAATAGGAACCCTAAATTTTACCTGTCATGGCTCTGCCTCGAGCTTAAACCAT